GGTCCCTCGCAAGATTCTATCAACCTCTCGGTCTGTTTAGTCTCTTATGTTATAAATTTCTCAATTCTAGCAATCAACTATCTTCTCTCGGTCTCAAGTCAATCACAAATATGCACAAATACGGGCCCTATATTCACACAATTAAAATAAACACAGGAAATTGATAAACGAAAGATAGACCGGAATGAATAAATAAAATTACCTCATAAAATAATCCGAGTACTCGCAAATCCTAGAATCCTTAAAAAGTTTAGCTACTAAACATATTCTCAAAACTCAAAATCAATAAATCCATGAGCTCAATGAAGAAGAAAAAGAGAAAAGAAAGAAGAACTAATGTCGCCGTTAGTTCCCGAATCTTCAACCTTGACTTCCTCGAATCCCTCGTGTGTTTCGTGCTTTCTCTTGGCCTCCAATGGTATCAAAAGTCCCAAAACCGAGTTCTCCAAGTCTATTTTATACTGTAGGGCAATTATGGGTCGAAAAAGGGAAGAAATCGCTTAAGAATCTTATTCCCCGCTGAACTCATCTGCGCGTCACACGAGTCGTGTCACATGTCACACGAGTCGTGTGACTTTCCTCTAATTTTTGCCAAACTTCCAGACTCACACGAGCACCCACATGACCAGGGCACACGAGTCGTGTGAGGCCACACGACCCGTGTGAAAAATTCGTAGCCGTATATCTTATTTGCCAACCCACACGACCCGTGTCACCATCCACACGAGTCGTATTACCTCTTCTACACCCCGTTTTTGCCGTTTTTCGTCCCGATTCCATTTTCAACGTTTTTCCGGGCATATTTCCTGCAAAACCAACGACAAAAATACCTCTATCATAGATTAATAAATAAAAACAAAATGGTGCACAATCACATAATAACCATGGCCAAATATCACAATATATCACTCATAATGCATGAAAATATGATGAATGTCAATCGGTCGGAGGAAGAGAGGGTTGACGGGATTTTTTTATTTTTTTTTTCAGGGGCTGTTTGTTTTTAGAATTAAACAATTCATAGGGACTTTGATGCAATTTTAAATTTTTATTCTTTTGTATTTTAATATGTGTGGCATTCTTGTAATTTATTAAAAGTTTATAAGTGCACTTTATAATACCAAAAAATGCACAATATTGTGGGTTAAAATGCACATTAAAAATCACATCGTAATTTTAATAAACTATAGATTTTGCACTGCTTATCGTTCGGTCGATTTGGTTGTTTCGGCCGTTTTAAATAATAATGTCGACATAGAATCGAAATATTCAAAATTTTAAAAGTAAAAAGTAGATAATTAAATTGAAATATAAAAAATTCGAATCGAAAAATCTTAGTTCGGTCGTTCTCGGTCACTAATGTGCAGTCTGATAGACATTAATGTGCAACTTGTGTAACACGATTGTGCACAGTCTCGGTCGCTTTCGTGCATTCTAATCTGACCAAACTTGTTATCTCAACGTAAATTAAAACTAATTTGCATTATTTGGTGTACTCTACCCGTTAGCCGTATAACCCTAAATAATAATAAAAAATATATAGTTGATATGAGTTATATAGTTGTGTACATTATAGAGAAAAAAGGATTTGAAGAGTCACATAAGTCCACCAATTTCTCACCAAGTTGATGAGATTTCTAATAGGATTTTATTTTTGTAATTTTATTAAAAAAGTTTCCAAAAGTCTTATAATTTAAAAAATCTTATAGTTCCACAATATCGAGTGACTTGTTGAAACTTAAAAAGTTTCAATTGAATACACTGAGTCTTTTAGAGATTTATAAAAAATTATGTAAAAGTCTTCAGACTTTTAAAAATCTCAAAAAGTTTCAATTAACTACACAAGAACTTTAAAAATCTTAAAAATTCTCCTAAATTAACAGGCTTAATTGGGTTCAATTAAGAGAAAATTACACCCTGTACATAACATATCTTTTTTATTTGCAAAATTACTAGATGTATGACATTAATTGCAAAATTATCATATTTTATAAAATATGATTAATTTAAAGATGAAATAAATTGATCGTAGATTTTATCTCTCTCCTCTCTATCTCTTCTTCTCATTCTTCTCTCTCTCTCTCTCTCTCTCTCTCTATTTGTATCAGAACCGTTCGTCTCTGTTCTCCTTCTTCTCTGTCAGAGCCGTTCTCCTTCTTCTCTCTCCCTCTCTCTTTTCTCCCTCTCTCTGTTCTCCCTCTCTATGTTCCCTCTTCTCCTTCTTCTCTCTCCCAAAAGTTTTAACGTCGTTCGACATTATCTTCGTCGTCACCTGCTTAGACATCCCATTCCCTCGGCCTCTTCTTCTCTAAATCAGATCGAATTATTACAGTTCCTGCTCGGATCATTGCTAGCAATCGGTTTGTGTTTGTTTAAATTTTTCAGAGTTTTTTGTTGTTATGGACTGAGGCGATTTGGGAATAATGATGGCCGGAGATGGGAGAAAGGTGAGATCTAATGATTTGGGGATCGACATGTTCAAAAACAAATGAGAAAACCCTAAATTGAAGGATTAGACGAGTCGGGTGAGAAAAGGACAACGTGTATATCTTGCGTATATATTCTGTATATAAATCGAGCTGAAATTTGAGTTTTGTGGTCTAATGTGTTTTCTGTATATCTTTTGTACATATTTTGTATTATAATGACAAGATCGATTTATATTCTGTATATATTTTGTATATCTTCTGTATATCTGTTGTGTATTTTCGGTATGTCATCGGTATATAATAAGTATATCTTCTGTATATAATCTTCATTGTGTATTTTATATGTATTTAGAAGATGATGTTGTTTGAGATTCAAATTCCTTATCTTTCTATTTTGTATTGAAACAATCTCCTAATTAATAGGATATATAAACTTACCTTATCTTTCTATTTTGTATTGAAACAATCTCTTAATTAATAGGATATATAAACTTACCATATCTTTTGTTTTTTAGTGCAAATCATGTATCCCCCATTCATGCGCAATTTAAGGAACACGTTCATATGTTTTATTTGGTATCTGAATTTTGATTATTCACTAATAAATGTAATGCATTTGGTAAGAAGGCAAATAAAATCTACACCTTGGTACAAATATAAATATTTTAAACTAGTACAACACCCGTGTAATATACGGGTGATTAAAACAAACTATATTTCACAAAAGGTAGAACTACAATAATTTACATAAAAATATAAAAAAATAAAGATAAAAAATAAATAATAAAATAAAAACAGAAATTGTAATATTATTTCAAAATTTGAAAAAAACTTCTCGGTATACAACGTTATTAGTTCGATTTACAATATTCCCATTATGGTCGCAACAAAGAATTTTGAAACCTCTTCTGCTCTTAACTCTAGATATTGCAACATAAAGCTGACCATGACTAAATACGGATTTAGGTAGGTACAACCCAACGTTAGACAATGTTTGTCTCTAACTCTTGTTAATGGTCATCGCAAAGCACACCAAGAGGTTGATAATAATTGATAAATTAAGGAATAAAAATAGATTGTCTCATTTACATATAGGAGTCAATTTGGTAAATTAAATAAGAAATGTAAATAGAAATGGTTCCAATTGAAATGAAATAGTTACAGATAATTTTGTTTCGACAAGTAACATTAGAAAGCAAAAATAAAATAAATTTGAGGAGAAAATTAAAAAATAAAATAGAAAGTTAAATACTTTTTTAGATTGTAAGTTGATATATGATAAAGTAAAAACAAAATTCCTCGTGTATATTTATTTACAAAATATTTTAAATATATTATCTTTGATGAATTTTTAAATATACAAAAATACTTATTTCCATAATATTTAAAATACATGAGTGGTTTAGTGTTTAATGTATTGGATGCACTTATGCAAGAGTACATGTCTAATATCTTTGTTATTTGTTTCAGTTGGATTAAATATTAGAGTAAGATTGATGTGTTTGTTAAAGACGATAAGGAAAATTGTGAGAGGAATGATTTTGTCGATAATTTTTTGAACACATTAGGGAGGGTCGAGATATTAAGTTTGTAATGAAATCTGGATCTATATTAATCCAACCTATTTTATTGTGAGCCCACAACATATCGTTACAATCAACACTTTGTTTTCTGGAAATGTGCTGTAGACTTTGGATGCAGTTGATGGAAAACAAGTTAGAAGAATTAATCACCCTGATGGTTTGGGTTAAGCAAACACAATAAACACAACTTCTTGCTTGAATTATTGAAGTTCAATAACATGTTAGTAAAATAAATATAATAAACTTTTTATCCACATATAGCAAGTCTGCAATTGAACCATCTCATATGTTGATAGAACACAATTGTATAATCTGTATATCTAATAACCCTCATGCAATTGACAAAGTATTTTCGATGGCGGGTAATCGTGTATGGCAACACAACCCAAGATAATCAACTGTAAGGGTTTAAACCACAAACAACGTTACGAAACCAAAAGAAAGATCAATCAGAAATAAGCACTTAAGATGTGAATCACATCATTGACCAATAACACCATTTAGAACTAAAGATAATATAATCCATAAAGTATTTCAACAGCATAGGAAACAAACTAAATATGCAGTACTGTAGAAAAAAAACCAAATATGCAGATAACAATAGCAAATAATTAATGTATATACGGCATTTATATATTAGTCATTTACATATAGGAGTCAATTTGGTAAATTGAAGCTGATAGAAGGACGCAAATTAAGAGTCAGGGATATATTAGTCACTTAGTATCACGCTATGTAAGATTATAAAGAATTAAATGGTTATATTAGTATAAGTGCTATGAAATTACCTAAGTTAGGTTAATAAATTTATGGAATGTCCGAACCTAAAATTATTAATTTATAATATCAATATTATTTGTCCAAACCAATTACCAAGCACGATTCTTCGTCAAGTAGAATTACGAAGCACGTAGACTCAGCGCATTCAGAAATTATATATGGGGGGATTTTTGTGATAAACATAAAAATTCTCCGTTGAATTAGTAAGGTTTTTTAGTAGTGCAGGCCCACGGTAGTCCAAAAACCTCTCGAGCTCGGGGTAGTTGAAAATGCAGTCATTTTTTTTCGGCTCTTTTCGTATAGTTTGAGTATCATACTCGACACAGCAAGGTCGACAAATTTTATATTTTCAGAAGTGCTGTGTAAAGGAAAGGAAAAGGATGGAAACAGAAGAAATTTTGACGGAACTTCTCGGCGTCGAAATGGAGCTTCAGGACGTTCAAAGTACTTTCTGTCTGTCATTTTCTTGTTGCTATTTTGTTGCCGGTTATTCATTTTTTAAATTTTATTGGCATATGCTTCCGGAATTAATTCGTTTGTTTTTTTCCTTTTTGTTGCTGCTATTCGGTTGTCCTCTGTTCATCGCAGCAAAAAAATAACCTTTTCCCATCCTAAATATGTCTTTTATATACATAATCTATTAATGTGTGTCTATCAGTTCTTATTACTTGGTGTAACTCCTATGGTAATCTGGTTATGATTTTATTAGCTATATACGTGGTACCTTTGGTCAGTGATGATGTACATTTTGAAAGATTGGTGTAATAGGTTATTGATGAAGCACAAAACTTACATTGTATCATTAGATTCTCGAATTCCTAGTGTCAGCTCGAGGTAAAAAAACACGTCTTTGTAAATTTTTCCTTTTTTCACTAAACTGATTATGTTTATTAAATTCAAATGTAGCAGATAACTTGAATACTTGATTGCATGTTCATCGATTTGAAATTCAGTATATAGTGTCTAATTTGAACTCTTATGAGTTTATTGTTGGTTCAGAGCAAATAAAGCTGCTTCTTGATCAGCAAGAAAATCTCCAACAGAGGCAATCAGAACTCAAAGCCCTTTTGGAACACACAGAAGCATCTCAAAGCCATGGAGATGTTGAGGCATCTGTTTCAGTGGATAATTGGTCGTGTCCATTCGAGTGGGACTCCGAAGCTGATGATGTTAGATTTAATATTTTTGGCATATCAGCATATCGTGCCAATCAGCGAGAGGTTAGCAATAACTGATCCAGACATCTTTATCTTGCCCGCTTGTTGTTTTTCCTCCATCTTCGGTTATGTTCCAGTCGAGTTTGATGGTTGGTATGTAGACAACGTAGAAGCTGGTGCAATTTAATGGAAGAAAATGTATGATGATTTTGAGGATGAAATGTACAAGAATCTAGGAGAACTAGTTTCCGGCCATGACATGGCCTACTGGAACAATATCTTTGGATAAAGCACCAGGACACTCCTCATAGTCATGTGAAAATAATTGGCTGAGGTCAGGCTGATGAATTTGTAACTTCAGTTAAGATTGTTGTTATTGAATAAATGTGAAGTCTGTGTATGGAAATCTACTTGGATGTATGGTAATAGGTTTGCCCCTATGGATATTTGGTCCAATTAATTTAATTGCTGTGCATGCAGTTTAACTCATTTGACAGTCAGAAAGAGCTTGTCAGTGTCTTTCAGAATGAACAACCCTGGGTGTTTGTCTTGTTGGCTATTGAGATCAGATTACGATGCATATTTTTCTGTTCTTTCTTTAAACTAGTTACTTAACACTGTACGAACCCGCTCAATTTCATCCAACTATGCTGATCAATATTTTATTTTTCTTCATCAAATTGCCCCTAATTTCTTGAAGTATTATCTAAGTTTAAATTTCAGATTAAACTGTTCCTTTTGAACAGATCATAAATGCAGTCATGAGTGGAAGGGATGTTTTAGTAATAATGGCTGCTGGTGGAGGCAAGAGCCTGTGCTACCAGCTTCCGGCAGTCCTTAGGAAGGGAGTGGCTCTTGTCGTTAGTCCTTTGCTTTCACTTATTCAAGATCAGGTTGTTATTTGGTTCAATGTTTATTGAGGATATTCCATTGGAATGCAGTTCTAATTTTTTATATTGCTTCAGGTTATGGGTTTGGCTGCCTTAGGCATCCAAGCATTCATGTTGACATCCACGACAAACAAGGAAGATGAAAAGTTCATTTATAAAGCTCTAGAAAAGGGAGAAGGGAATCTTAAAATATTGTATGTTACACCTGAAAAGGTATCAAAAAGCAAGAGATTTATGTCGAAGTTGGAAAAGTGTCACCATGCTGGGCGCCTCTCTCTTATCTCCATTGATGTATGTACAGAGTGCATGAATCTTTGAATTTGATGTGTCTAAATGTGTATTTTATTTCTCAAAATTAGTTTACGTGTAAGTGTAGAAGTTGCCAAGAGGTGAGCTTGGCAAGTGAAGGTTCTTAAGCATGTGTAAAATACACTTATAATTCAACCAAATGATGTAGGACTTGATCAAAGTTCATTTTCATTCTTGAAGTTTGAACTCGATGATATAGGACTTGCGGAAAGTTCATTCTCAATCATTGCAGCATCGAAATTTGGACCTTCTATCAAATTGTTGAGATAATAGAAACTAATGAGCCACTTGAAGATTAAAATGATTATATCATTGATATTATTGACCTCTGTTTCCGGCGTTTTGTTCTGAAGGAGTAAGGACAACTTATTACTGTTAACTCATGCTAATGTCGTTTTTATATATTTTTTTAATTACTATGCAGGAAGCGCATTGTTGTAGTCAATGGGGTCACGATTTCCGTCCAGACTACCGGAATCTTGGTATATTGAAGACTCAGTTTCCTAATGTTCCTGTGGTTGCTTTAACTGTATGTCATGTTGTTATCTTACTTTTCTATACCATTCCCCGCATAATTTTGATGGTTATAAAGTGCTTATATTTTTAACTTCTCTGTTATAGGCCACTGCTACAAAGAAAGTACAAGATGATTTAATGGATATGCTACACATCAAAAGATGCGTTAAGTTTGTCAGTTCTGTCAACAGGCCTAATCTCTTTTACATGGTATAATTATCAATTTCTATTCCTCCCAATATATTATGTGAATGTGTATATTTAGATTCATATTTCTTCTGTTCTACTTAACTTTAGAATTGTAAAATATATGTTGTAGGTAAGGGAGAAATCATCCGTTGGAAAGTCAGTGATTGATGGGATAGCTGAATATATTCAAACATCATATCCAAATGGTGAATCTGGGATAGTATATTGTTTCTCCCGCAAAGAGTGTGAGCAGGTACACGATCTTCTTTACTTGCTCGAGTTTGATTTATCCTGAATCCTGATCACTTGATGAAATTTCATCAGGTCAAAGGATTCATATATGACTTTCACTATTATTTACAGATCATATGACTGCTGGGTTGGATTTCCACTGAAAGTTTCATTTAAAGATTGCATATTGTATATTCTTATATATATATTCACATATTTAAGGTTGCGAAAGAATTGCGGGAAAGGGGAATCTTGGCTGATTACTATCACGCAGATATGGATGTGAATGCTCGTGAAAAAGTTCACATGAGGTACTATTTTATGGATTTGTTTGCTCATGCCAAATGAACTCTGTCACTTTTAATGCCTATGCCTGCTTTTTAATGCGCGTATTTTTTATCGAGTAGTGCAAAGTTCAGTCCCTTTCCTTACCTACTTAATATCAGGCTGTAACCATATCATACTCAAAATCTTATAATTCTTCTCAAATTGAGTTTTCTTATTTATTTTTTAAATATGAGTACTGGGGCAAAAAAAAAAGAATCTTTCAGATAGTTGTACGAGTATTAGTGCCTACAACGCAATCTGATGATGAAAGAAATATAGTGCTTTTACAAGTTTTAGATCATGAGATTTTAATAATTTCACTTGCCATTAGAATATAGCTTTTGTTTTGGCATCATGTGGTTACTGTTTAGCTGTAGTTCATTTCCATAAAATAATTTAGTTGTACAAAAGGATGGTTCTACGTAACATCAAAATTCACTATCCTCATAAGTCATAAAAAAAACAAGAAGTATTAGAGTACAATGCATGTTGGTATTTTTGTGCTGTACCAAGCTGATCTAATGGATTTTAGTTGGATTTACTAAATCAGTTTGTGATGTAATTTGATGTCTCAGTTGGAGTAATGGCAGTTTACAAGTGATCGTTGGCACGGTATGTTCTGGAAATTCTTAAAGTTAAATAACACAATATCAGAAAATCACTGGCAAATTTCTGTCTTGCAGGTGGCATTTGGAATGGGAATTAATAAGCCAGATGGTTAGTAACTCTTGTTTTCTTTGTTTTTCCACTAAGATTTGGTGACTCACATGCATTTTCTGAATTAAATAAACTAACATAATTCCTGTAAGCTTATGGCTTGTGAGACTATATTTTTAGTCCTATTTGAAAAGGTATAACAGCAGTAAAAGATTCTAACTGCTTCGTTGACCATTTATAAGAGAGAAGTTGCTGTCTAGATTTTTCATATGAAGCACAAATGCAGCATTGCAACTGTGTTCATTTGGTTTTACTTATTTATGCATTTGTGATATTGATGTTGGTTGTAGTCAGGTTTGTTGTTCATCACAGCTTAAGCAAATCAATGGAGACATATTATCAGGTTTGTGTTGAGTAAATTTGGTTTTTGCCTTCATAGTGTTCCGTCCTGTAATGCTCTTGTAACAGGAGAGTGGTCGAGCTGGTCGAGATGGGCTTCCTTCTGAGTGCTTGCTGTACTTTAAACCAGCTGATGTTCCTAGGCAGGTAATTGGTAGGTGAGTATTATTTTTTTTTCAGTTATTTGACATCAGGATTCTGATTTCTAAATATTTTTTGTTTTTTGCAGAGCTCAATGGTCTTCTATGAAAATTCAGGGTTACAAAATCTTTATGACATTGTGCGATATTGTTTGGTAGGATTATTTGTTTAGAACTAACATGTTGCTCTTTCTTTT